GAAGAGCGTAACACTGATGGAGGCAGCCCACTTCTAATGCAAGGGGCTTTAATGTAAGCTAAGAGCCAGGTCTGACCGGGAGCGTTCCCTCATTCAGAGTCATTACTGTGGAATGAACTACGGAGGGAAGGACAGATAAGAACTCAGACCTGTCACTGTAAAAGCTGGTACCGCTTTGAAGCAAGGATGGAGTAAAAGCTAACTGTGAACCCCAGCTTTCCTGTCTGGAATGGGCTGAGTCTGCATCGCTTACCGGGTGCAGGACTTGCACTCCTCAGTGGGGTATGCCCCCAAGTGCAGCCGGCGCAGGTGGTCGATTTTGGGTTGTCCCGGTGCCCTAGGTAGGAGAAAGGGGTCTCAGACTCCAGCTGCCAGGGCTGATGCATTGCATGCACAGCACGAGGGGCCCTCTGACAGGAAAAGTAAACTGGCTGGAGGGGTTATCCACTAAGATCCACTGTATCACAGTCCCACAATGTTTGGTTTTGTTTTTTGTTGTTGTTTTTTTTTTACCTTCCTGTTGCAAGGGAGCTCCTATTGCCCGGAAAGGCTCCTATTACCTAACAGCTTGGCAAATCTCAGCCTTCGGCCTACATACATTTCCCAATAGTTTCAACCCAATATGGCATTGTTCCCTCCCAATTCTTGTCTAAAGCCTGATATGTTGAGTTTGCCACAGAATGCCTGCCATGTTCCACCCCAGAAGCAGCTGCACTTCAGCACCAGATGTCATAGTCCCCACCCATGCAGCTTACAAGGGCGTAGCCAAAGTATACAGAAAGAGAGATGCAACATGTATAGGACATTTTTCCTCCCTTCTCCCACAAAGTGAGGGTTGAAGGGACCTCAGGAGGTCACATCTAGTCCAGCCCCCTGCTCCAAGCAGGACCAGCCCCAACTACATCATCCCAGCCAAGGCTTTGTCTACCCAGGTCTTAAAAACCTCCAAGGATGGAGACTCCACCACCTCTCTGGGTAACCTGTTCCAGTGTTTTACTACCTTTCTAGTGAGAACATTTTTCCTAATATCCAACCTCAACTTCCCTTGCTGCAGCTTGAGCCCATTGCTCCTTGTCCTGTCATCTGCCTCCACTGAGACCAGCCCAGCTCCATCCTCTTTGCAACCACCCTGCAGGGAGCTGAAGGCTGCTATTCAATCCCCCTCGGTCTTCTCCAGACTAAATAAGCCCAGTCCCCTCAGCCTCTCAGATCTTTTAGGCTTTGAATTCCCACCTCAGACTCCTCGGCAGCTACGAACAGTAGGTAAAGCATCTGTATCATCTTTAGAGCAAACGGGACACAGAGAAAGGAAGTGGCGACTCTAAGAGAGCAAGTCTGTGGCACAGCTGGGGGCTGACAAGGGGTCTTAATGTAATCCCAGTACTAACTGGATAGGCATCTGGCGGGGGTCATCTGACC